AAGAATGAGGTGTCGTTTATCCGCTGGATGGATTTCTAATTATGAATGGTTTGGCACATTCGAATAATTATTATATCCGAATATGCTCCAATCTCTATTCTTCTCTCTTCGCGGTTCCGATTTTTTATTTTTCCAATTGCGTTTGGTAGTTGGTTTTTCTGATTGCCAACAAAAACAGACTTTCCTTCACGGGGGTTGTCTTTGCAACTCTAGAGACAGCGTCTCGACAGAGTTTTTGGTCTTCGATTAACTTCTTTTGGTTTGTCCTTTAATTCCAGTTGTTGGGTCAAATCCATTTAACCAATCCATTTCATCATCTCTGTGTCATCCAAGCTATATTTGTTTCTAGCTAAAAGAATAAGAAAAAAGATAAAAAAAGGGTCGGTAAATTATTGTCCTGTGATCGATCGGGTTTGAGGATTGTTGATCTGGGGTGGTATCAGAATTGAGGCGGTTTTGGCCTTTTTTTCTGACAAAGAAATCCTGGGTATTTTGTACTTTCTTAGATTAAGATGAAATTTTTGAGATTTTTGTGAACTGGGTTTTGTCTCAGAAATCCAGAGATTGAAGGATGAATGCGGTTGGGAGGCTAGGAAGCTATATCTCTCGTGGGGTGTACACCTTCTCTGGCCCTTTTCATCCTTTTGGCGGTTGTGTGGACATAATTGTGGTTGAACAGCAAGATGGGAGCTTTAAATCCTCACCTTGGTATGTCCGGTTTGGGAAGTTTCAAGGGGTTTTGAAAACCAGAGAGAACGTGGTCAACATATGTGTCAATGGAGTTGAGGCAAATTTCCACATGTATCTTGATCACAAAGGGGAAGCTTATTTTCTTAACGAAGTTGATGTGGTGGAAGATGCGGAGTCTGTTTTGAATCATTCCTCGTCTGGTGATGAAGGGACTGACGGGCAATCCCAGGTTGATAGGAGGCCGTTGAAGTCCCAAAGTTGTAATTTTGATGATGGAAACGCGAAATCAGCTGATCGGATTGATACAAGCAATGGGAAGATTACGAGGAGGACTAATTCGCGTCGGTCGCAGATTCTTGGGCTTGTGTTTGGGAGGAGGTCAAGAAAGGAGAATGATAATGGGGGAGAGAAGGAGAATGATAATGGGGGAGAGAAGGAGAATGATATACAAAGAATTGATTCACTTGAGCGTGCAGAGTTTGCTGCCAAGCTTTTGGAAGTGAAGTGGTCCACCAATCTTGATACCAGTAAGCCTAGGAAAGATGATGCTTCCGTGTTTTCGGATTCAAATGTTTTGGACGGTCAGGATCATAGAGATGTGGAGATTGGTGGTCAGATAAGCCAAGTCAGCTCATCAGAAGAATATGCTGAGACTTCCACTATAAGTGAAATTATTCCTGGGAGTGAATGTCAGGTAGCATCTAATGTTACTGGAGCTGATGAATCTCCTACTACGTCGGTTGCTGAATCCGAGTTGAATGCAGATGGAGTCTTTTCTGAGATGGTCGGTGCTGATTTGCAAGTTCCTAGGGTGGTTGAAGTTTGTACCGGCAAACAATTCAATGAAGAATGGGCTTCTTATAAAAAAGATGTTCAATTACAATTACCAGGTTGTGGCATTTCCCAGAATGGTGGAACAGATACAGTTCAATCACTCGTCTATTGCGAATCATCGGGGAGGTCAATAGTGAGAAATGATGCTTCCAATGGCCGAGCTTATGAAACACTGTACATTGCTAGTAGCGGATGTGGGGATCTTCACGTTCATGCAGCAACACTGCACGCAAGAACCGAACCGC